GCGGCAGCCTCAGCCCCCCGTGTCCTCACAGGTCTGCGTGGAGCAGCAGGACGTGGCTGGTGGCCTGGCTGCGGGTCTGCGCGTGGGCAAGCTGAGCTTGGTGGACCTGGCGGGCTCGGAGCGAGCTTCGGTGGCCAACACCAGGGGGGAGCGGCTGCGGGAGGGGGCCAACATCAACCGCTCCCTGCTGGCCCTCATCAACGTCATCAACGCCCTGGCTGATGCCAAGGTGACCCTGCTGGGGTGGCCCCGAGGGGCTCTGCCCTGCGGGGGGCTGCGGGCGAGGTGCCCCGTCGTGCTGGGGCTGGGCAGCCCCGACCCGGCCCCTCTTGTCCCGCTGGGGCCTCAGCAGCGCAGAGGAGACCCCCCCTGGTCCTGCTGGCCCCGCTCCTGGCGCTGCCCCCCGGGGCTGGGAGCTGAGCAGCCCCTCGGTCTCCTGCTGCAGAGCAAGAAGAGCCACGTCCCGTACCGGGACAGCAAGCTAACCCGCCTGCTGAAGGATTCCATCGGCGGCAGCTGCCGCACCGTGGTGATCGCCGCCGTCAGCCCCTCGGGGCTGGCCCACCAGGACACCTACAACACCCTCAAGTACGCCAGCCGGGCCAAGGAGATCAAGCGGTCGGTGAGGCTCCTGTCCCGGCGGGGTCCGGGGCTCTGGGAGCTGCTGGGAAGGGGCCCGGGGCGTGTTCCTCAGGGAAGCGCTGGGGAGAGTCCTGGCCGGGGGCGCTGGGGGGGAGCCGGGGGGGTCGGGCAGGGCGAGCCCCTGTGCAGGGAGCAGGGAGCTCTGCAGCTCGAGCAGGTTGCTGAGAGCCCCCAGCAGGTCTCCCCTCAGCCTCCTGCTCTCCGGGCTGCCCCCCCAGCTCCCTCAGCTGCTCCTGCTCAGCCTCGTTCCCCCCCGGGCAGGGGGGTCTCCCCGCTCCAGCGGGAGTTTCCCGGTCCCGGGGGCAGCGGGAGGGGCTGGAGCTGCGGGCGCCGTGTCCTCTGCTGCAGCCCCTGGGGCAGAGCCCGGCGAGGCTCCTGCCCGTGCCAGCAGGGCCCTGAGCACGGCCGGTGTCCCCCGCAGCCAGCCCGGGGCTGGGGGGACCCTGGGGGAGGCCGAGTCCTGGGGTGCTGGGGACACACGTGCTCCCCAGCGCTGCTGGACCCTCTGCCCTGTCTGTGCCGCTGAAGCCCAAGGTGCTGGGCTCCCGGTGCCCGCGCTGCAGACACGCCGTGCGCTGCCAGCAGCTGCAGGCAGAGGTGAGCGGTGCCGGGAGGGGAGGGCTCTGCCTCGGGCCGGGCTTGGCGGGGGCCCTCGGGGCTGGCGGGGGTCGGGAGCCCCTCTGAGCAGCCGCCCCTCCCTCCCCCGCAGGTGGCCGAGCTGCGGGCCAAGCTCCGCGGGCAGCAGGAGGCAGAGGAGCGGGCGCTGGTGCTGCCACCTGCCCTCGTCTGCAGCCCGGGGGGGCTGCCCAGGTGAGGGGGGGGGCACAGGGAGCCTGGGGGCACCTCCTGGCTCTTCTCAGGTTGCAGGCTTGTGGTGCTGGGCAGAGCTGGGCTCTGTGGGGAAGCAGCTGAGCTGCTCTGCTGGTGGGCACCATCAGCTCAGCTGGGCTCGGGTCTCGTTCAGAGCCCGAGGGACCCCCGGGCACGAGCGTGAGGGGAGCTGGGTTCCCAGGGCCACGTCTCTTGGATGCCCCCCAGAGCTTCTTGGGCAGCTCCAGGGCTTGTGGCTTCTCCTCTGGCTGCTGTGATGGGAGGAGAGGAACCGGCCCCGGGCTGTGCCAGGGGAGGTTGGACCTTGGGAACAGTTTCTCCCTGGCAGGGTTGTCAGGGCTGGAGTCCCCATCCCTGGAGGGGGTTCCAAGCCCTGGAGCTGTGCTGCTGAGGGACAGGGGGCAGTGGTGGCCTGGGCAGGGCTGGGCTGAATGATCCTCAAGGTCTTTTCCAAGCCAAGTGCTTCTGTGTTGTGTAGGTCGGAGGCCCCTGTCCCCAGGCCCTGCTCCTCAGGCCTGGCTGATGGCAGGGAGGGGCATGGAGAGCAGCTGGAGGCTGGGTGGCCCCTTGGTCCTCAGCTGGGAGCAGAGGAGGAGGTGAGAGGAGGGGTGGGCAGCTCGGGGGGCTCGGCGTGGGGCCCAGAGGAGGCTGGTGGGGCTCAGGTCCCCGGGTGGGCTTGGCTGGGAGAAGCTGGGAGAGGCTTCCCAGGCAGCAGGGCAGCCGGGGTGCAAAGTCGGGTGGCCTTGGGGTCCCTCCTGGGCTGGGTGAGTGAGGATTTTTGGCTGATGGCTTCAGGCTCCAGAGGAGATGCCTGCCAGCAGCCCCGGAGCAGCCCAGCAGGCAGGAACCCTCCAGCTGCAGCCCCAGCACCCGAGCTGCCTTCTCCAGGGCTTGTCCTGCTGCCAGACGGAGACGTGAGTGTCCCCGAGCTGTCCCCACAGCCCCGGCCCTGCCGTGTGCCCCTGCAGGACGGGTCATCCAGCCTCCTGTGGCCCCCCCAGGGCTGGTCTGGCTGGAGGTGGGACCGGGGCTGTGCCTGCAGCCTGGGCCTGCCCTGTCCCAGCAGGGCTTGGGCTCCCGGGGAGCCAGGACAAGCCCCGTGGCTGGTCCCGGAGGCAGCTCTGCCAAGGCTCCCTCTGCTGCTGCCTCTGCCCCCGGCACCGTGCGGGGCTGAAGCTGCGCAGGAAGGTCTCTGGGGGAGCCTGGTCTTGAGCTGTGCCTGGCGCTGAGCTGCCGGGGCTCTGAAGCCTGGCAGCAGGGGTGTGGGTGCTGGGTGGTCCCTGGGCAGCAAGAGGGGCAGCCCTGGCAGCCCAGGTTCTCCAGCAGGAGCTTTGCAGCTGGGGGATCTCCCAGATCTGTGGCTCTTGTCCCCCCAGCCTCTGCCCACGGGCTCTGTCTCTGGAGGAGGTGCCCGAGAGGTGCTGCTGGTGGTGCTGAGCCCCCGGTGCTGGTGCCCCTGGCTCAGGCCGCCCTGCTGAGGGGTTCCTGGTGTGTGTGTGTCCCTGCCAGGCTGCTGGGCGCCCTCCTGAGCGTGGTGCAGAAGCAGAGCTCCGTGCTGAGGGCGGCCAACCTGCTCA